CACCCGGGGTGCTGCAGAGCACAGCGGGACTGGGCACCGTGCTGACCAGCCTCTTCCTCCCCATCCCGCAGGCTGGAGGAGGTGCCCTTGGAGGTGCTCCGGCAGCGTGAGTCCAAATGGCTGGATATGCTCAACAACTGGGACAAATGGATGGCCAAGAAACACAAGAAGGTAAGTGATGGCTGTGTTCCCCCAAGGAGGTGGCAGGGAGGGACAGCCAGGTGTCCCTTTGGGGCTGCCTGGTGTCATTGGATGCCTTTGGATGATACTGTTGGCTTGAGTGGGCTGTTCATTCCCCTTGGAACCTGGAGCTTGGTGGGGCTGAGTGGTCCCCAAGGCAGCCTGCTCCCACTTCTGACTGTTCCCTTCCAGGCTGGAGCCTTCCTAGAGCCTCTTTGGCTGACTTCAGGCAGCCATGGGAATTGTTTGTTCATGGAAACTTCTGTTCTGAGCATCTTGTAGACCAAAAAAAGCTCTGGATAGGAAACATCTGAGCCTGATGAGTGTGATGCTGGTCTGTGACATGGGGTCCCAGGGAGACTCGTGCTGGAGGGGCTCCAGGGCTTGATCTGTTGGTGTTCCCTGACCACCTGAGGATGAGGCAGGGATGGGATGCAGCAAGTCCTGGGTTTCTGCTAGGACTGGTGTGGCTGGCACGGGCTGGTGGTGCCGGAAAGTGGCTGCAGGTCCTTCTCATCCCCTCTGCTGGCAGAGTCTCCTGGCACTGCTCCATGTGCTGTGCTCCTGGACTGCTGTCCCCGCTCGGTGCCTGGTGATTGACACTGGAATCCCTCATCTGTTTCTTGGCTGCTCTTAAAGGATTTGGGAGAGCTCTCTGGGCCTCAGCAGGCGGGTGCTTTGTTCCATGGGCAGCTTCCGCTGCTCCCCGGCCGCGTGCCGCAGGGTGCCCTCCGGATGGGGTGAGTGCTCCGCAGCCCTGCGCCTGGCCCAGCAGCTCCTTGTGCTTGGGCTGAGCTCCTGGGAGTCTCCATGGGGCCAATGTGCTGTATAGTCTGTCCTGCAGCAAAAATCCATGCCTGGAGTCTGAGAGACTGCTCAGAATGCTGCTATGTGTCTGGAGCCTTGAGGCTGCTTGGGGAAGGCTGCCAGGCCTGGCCTTGGATGCTGTCAACTCTCCTTGCTCTGGCAGGAGGCTGCTTGGTGCAGGCCTTGCTGCTCCGTGGGAGCTCCCTGAGCCTCCGAGAAACCCCAGTACTTTTCTGGCTGCCTCAGCAGGGCTGGCAGGCAGCCCGGGGATCCCTTGGGCCAGCTCCTGCTGGGCTTGCTCACACCTGCACGGCTGCAGCATCACAAAATTCTCCCTGCCTGGCCCCAGTCCCAGCAGAGCCTGACCCCGCTGAGTTGTGCCAGCACCCCGTGCTGGAGGGAGGGCAGACGTGTGGGTGGGTAGCTCCCAGTGCTCTCCCAGTGTGGGCAGTGCTCCAGCTGCACCTTGCTTTCAGCATCCCTCAGCCCAGACACGCTGCTGGTACCTGGAGGGGCACGGTGGGATCGTGGGGGCGATGGCAGGGCCCTGTGCAGAGCCAAGGGGATGAGGTGCTTGGCCCTGGCTGTGCTGAGCCAGGCCATCTAGAGGGGCTGCCGAACCGAAACCCAGCGAGGCAGCTTCCTTCCTGGCAGCTCGGCCAGCAGGAAGGGGAGCAGGCTGGGAATGGTCAGCAGCCACAGAGCTGCCCACAGCAGCCCTGGGCATCGCCCGCTGCGTTTCCTGCTGGCACAAAGGGACCTGTGTGGGTAAACAACAAGTGCTGCAGCAAGGGAGCAGCAAACCCCCTGAGGACATGGTGGTACCACACTCATAAACAACCATCTGCTCCCCAGTTACACCAGCAAACAGGGAAATGCAGCTCTGGGCAGACAGGAGAGGTCCAGGGAGCATTTGAGAGCTGTTGGCCATGGCTCCCAGGGCCCTGGCACAGGAGGCATGTGCCACCCAAGCAGGGGCATGAGGCATGGAGACCGTGCTGGGGCTTTGCAGGGTGTTGTGGGGGGGTGACTGTGCTGAAAGCACCAGGCTTGTGGGGCCCACCTTGCTGTGTGCCCTGGCTGAGGACTGTGTAAAGAAGGATACAAGGATGTGCAGCTGCTGGAGCTAGTCCAGAGGAATCCATGGAGGTGCTCCAGGGGCTGAAGCACCTCTGCCATAGAGCCAGGCTGGGAGAGCTGGGGGTGTTCAGCCTGGAGGACAGGAGGCTCCAGGGAGACCTTAGAGCCCCTGCCAGTGCCTAAAGGGGCTTCAAGAGAGCTGCAGAGGGACTTGGGACAAGGACCTGGGGGGACAGGATGTAGGGAGTTCCCACTGGCAGAGGGCAGGGCTTGATGGGGTATTGGAAAAGAATTCCTCCCTGTGAGGGTGATGAGGCACTGGCACAGGCTACCCAGAGCAGCTGTGTCTGCTCCATCCCTGAGAGTGTTCCAGTCCAGGTTGGATAGGGCTTGGAGCAAGTTAGGCTAGTGGAAGGTGTCCTTGCCCACGGTAGGGGGGGAAGTAAGCTTCTTTCCAACCCAAACCATTCGATCTCCTGCCACTTTCCCAGGAGTTGGACCAGAATGCTGGGGGGCTCTGGTTTCATCCCTGCTGTGGTGCAGGCAGCAGTAGGGTTAAGCCAGCTCAGCTCCTTGTGCACGATAGGTACCGACTGCCTTGCCTGGACTTTGGTCATAGCTGGTGCCCAGTGCCAAGGAAACCAGGGGCCAACTGTGGGCATGGAGCTGGCCCCAGGGGCCTCAGGTTTCGTCCGTGTGTGGGGCTGGGGCCAGGCTTGCCCTTCCTTGCACCTGTGATGAGCTGGTGGAAAGGCTGAGACACTCGACAGGGCACACCTCCCTGCTCCCCATGGCTCCCTGGTGGAGTGGGAGGCCGGACTGGGGGTTGAAGAGCCTCCCCTGTGTTCCAGTGCTTCCCATGCGGAGGGAGCCACCCGCTCCCCACCTTGGCTCCAGTGTTTGCTTTTCCAGCTCCCAGCAGGATCTGGCTTTGAGGCAGTGCCAGGCTCGTTTGGAGCTGTTTGCAAGCCACAAAGCCTCGGCTGGGCTCCTGGCAGCTCCCCTTGCTGCCATCCCAGCTGCCATCCCTGCATCCCAGGGGTGCCGGGATGCATCCCCTTGTTCCGGAGGCAGCAGGAGACCAGCCCGTGGCTGCGGTGCTGGCCTGGCTCCCACCTTGTTCCAGGAGCCCCTTGTTTTCCCACTGCTCCATGATTTCCCTTGACGGCTGTGTCTCTCCACAGATCCGGCTGCGGTGCCAGAAGGGGATCCCGCCCTCGCTGCGGGGCCGAGCCTGGCAGTACCTCTCTGGGAGCAAGGTCAAGTTGGAGCAGAACATGGGCAAGTTTGATGTGAGTCCTGCTGGGGATCCTCCTGCACCGCTGGGGAGGGACAATGCTGGGGTTGCTCCCTCCAGAGATGGGCTGTAAGTTGGGATCGCAGACGTCTCAGGGGGGTGCCAAGGGTGTTGTTCATTCCAACCCTCTCCTCCCCAGGAACTGGATCTCCTCACGGGAGATCCGAAGTGGCTGGATGTGATTGAGCGGGATCTGCATCGGCAGTTCCCCTTCCATGAGATGTTTGTTTCACGTGGAGGTCATGGGTAAGTGGAGCTACTGTGTGTCCAGTCCTCAGCAGCCACAGAGTGGGCACTGTCTATCCCAGCTCATGGAGCCACACTCGTGCCCCTGGTGTCCCCCCATCCCTGCACAGTCCTTACACTCCCGGAGTCACAGAACATCCAGGCATGGACTGAAAACGGGATCACTTCCCAGGAGCTCCGTGGGTCGCAACCCTTGGCACTGGCTCTGATACCGTGTGGGGTGGGAATTGCCATGGCAGGACAGAGGGAGGAGGTGGCTGGCTGTGGCCTCCATTTCACCAGGAAAATGCTGTCCCCAGTGTGTTGGGGAGTGTCTGTGGCTCTGTGCTTGCAGCTGAGTCCCTGCCTATCCATGGCTCGTCTTAAGTCAGCATCCGTGCGAGATAAATCATCTCCCTGCCTCACCTCTTGGATCTAGGGCAGATGTGGTTTCTGTGGGGGGCACAGCTGTGGGTGTGTCCCATAGCCCATAGTTTATGTGGAAGAGCGATCCCACTGAGGAGTGACCCAGGCTCATACCTGGGATCTAGGGAAAGGCTGCTGGGCCGTGTCCATGCCCTGTGCCCAGCTCTGTCCCCGGGGTGTCTCCACAGGCAGCAGGACCTGTTCCGGGTGCTGAAGGCGTACACACTGTACCGCCCGGAGGAGGGGTACTGCCAGGCCCAGGCGCCCATCGCCGCCGTCCTGCTCATGCACATGCCGGCCGAGGTACAGCCAGGGGGCTGGGACCACTGGGAGGGTGTCGATCCCTTTGGGGTGGTGCTGATTGGGAGGGTGCACAGCTCATTGCACCCCAAAGCGCCCCAGGGTTCTTCTGCGTTTTCCTGCTTTCTCCCATGGTCCCTGGGAGCACGGAGGGGGCCGCAGGGATGTCCCCTGGGTGCTCATCTGCTGTCCCTTGGCTTGCAGCAAGCGTTCTGGTGCCTGGTGCAGATCTGTGAGAAGTACCTCCCTGGCTACTACAGTGAGAAACTGGTGAGTAAATGCGGAGAGAAACGGACTCCACACGATCCAGTGTGAATCAAGCTGAATACAGTCTTGCTGTCCCTAATATACACTGTTTCCCTGCATGCAATCACGCATATAACGATTGGATAAAACTTCGTTCACGTGCCTCTAAGAGCTAAATGATAGGTTAAATATCTTTGTTTATGCGCCACTAGTAACTAAGTGGTAGGTTGGGTAATAATCCGGCTCTGTCCTCCCTTCGCAGTTGTTTGTGCTCTTCTGCTCCCTTTATCTTATCCTTGCAGAGTCTGTTTTCATCCTCCTTTGATGCCTGGCATGCACCTCCTGACCTTGCACATGTTTAGTCCATCTCCCCATATGGTTGGTTCACAGTGTGTCCATTCTCTTCTGAATATATTGTCTCCACAAGTAAAGGGCTCATGGTGCCTTCAGCAATACAGGGTGCTGCACCTGGGTCAGGGCAAGCCCCATAACAGTCCAGGCTAGGGGATGAAGGGATTGAGATCAGCCCTGGGGAGAAGGACTTGGGATGCTGGTGGGTGAGACACTGGACATGCCCTGGCCATGTTCATTGGCATCCAGAAAACAGCTGTGTGCTAGGCTGATCCCCATGAGGGGGAATCCTGCCCCTCTGCTCTACTCAGGTGAGACCACACCTGCAGTGCTGGCTCCAGCTCTGGGTTCCCAGCACAGGAAGGATGTAGAACTGCTGGAGCGAGTCCAGAGGAGGCCATGGAGATGCTCTGAGGGCTGGAGCACCTGTGCCATGGAGCCAGGAGCCCCTTCAGTGCCTAAAGGGACTCCAAGAGAGCTGCAGGGGGACTTGGGACAAGGGCCTGGAGGAACAGGACACACGGAATGGCTTCCCACGGGCAGAGGGCAGGGCTAGATGGGATATTGGGAAGGAATTGTTCCCTGTGAAGGTGCTGAGGCACTGGCACAGGTTGCTCGGAGCAGCTGTGGCTGCTCCATCCCTGGTAGTGTTCCAGACCAGGTTGGACAGGGCTTGGAGCAGCGTGGTCTGGTGGAAGGTGTCCCTGCCCATGGCAGACAGTGGAACTAGATGATCCTTCAGGTCCCTTCCACCCCAAACCATTCCATGACTGGTCAAGGATGGAGGCCTCAGTGCAGCATCTGTGGGACTCAGCTCTGCTTCCGTAGCCAGGTCTGAAGGGTGATCTGCCTCCCACTGGGACCAGGCACTGGGGGGGCTGATCTCAGAGCCAGGACACTCACTGGGACACTGGTCACTGTCTCTGCAGGAAGCCATCCAGCTGGATGGGCAGATCCTCTTCTCGCTGCTGCACAAGGTCTCACCTGTGGCCTACAAGCACCTGAGCAAGCAGAAGATTGACCCCATCCTCTACATGACAGAGTGGTTCATGTGTGCCTTCTCCCGCACACTGCCCTGGAGCTCTGTCCTGCGCGTCTGGGACATGTTCTTCTGTGAAGGTACATGCTCCCACCATCCTCTTCTCCCTCCTGGGATGACTGGCAGCACTCCCCACAGCATGTGGGACCTGTAGTAGGGCAGGTTTGGGGGTAACCCAATGCCTGGGTGGAGATGGGCTGTTTTCCTAGGGATTAATGGGGACATGCATCCCAAATCTACCCTCTTGCATGTCCTGATTGTTAGTGGGACTGGCATCTGGTGCCCCACAGCATTTGAGGGACAAGGTGGTGGTGTCACCCTGTCCTGCCTGGCACTCATTGCTTTACCTTTCCCTTTTAGGGGTGAAGATCATCTTCCGAGTGGGCCTGGTGCTGCTCAAACACACCCTGGGCTCCTCGGACAAGCTCAAGTCCTGCCAGGGCCAGTATGAGACCATGGAGAGGCTGAGGGCCCTCAGCCCCAAAATCATGCAAGAGGCCTTCCTGGTGCAGGAGGTGAGGCCCTGGGGACCATCTGGGGGCCCAGTTACCACCCACTTGGCCAATGCTGCCGGACTGGGTGGATGGGGTGTAGCATGAGGGCAGATTCCAAAAAACTCAGGTTTGGTGTTGCCTCTGCCCTTTGGAGGGTCCCACACCCAACCCTGGTGGCACTGTCACTGTTGGGAG